TATCATTCTTTCTCTCTGGCTTGCAAGATTTTTGCTGAAAAATTCACTGAGATTCTTATGCAGGTTTACTTGTGTATAATAATTCACCTTTACCTTGATGCTTTCAAGACTCTCTTTTTTTCTTTAATTTTTGACAATGTGATTATGGTGTTTCTTTGTGTTGGTCTCTTCAGATTTATCTTATTTGGCATCATTTGGGCTTAATGGATCAGGATTTCTATTTCCTTCCCCAGGTTTGGAGAGTTTTCTGCCATTATTTCTTTAAATGTGTTTTCTGTTTCTTTATTCTTCTGGCATGTGAATATAATGTACAAATTGTTCTGTTTGTAGGTGTCCCATAATCTCTTAAGCTATCTTCACTCTCTTTCATTATTTTTTCTTTTGTCTCCACAGATTCAATAGTTTACAGTGAACTGTCTTTGAGTTCATGAACCCTTTATTCTGCTTCACCTAGTCTGTTGTTAAACCCCTCTACTGAATTTTTCAGTTCAGTTTTAGTATTCCTCAGCACCATATTTTCTGTTTGGTACTTTTCAATACTTTTTTTCTCTTTGTTGAAATTCTCGGTTTGTCCTTGCATTGCTCTCCTGACCTCAGTGAACATCTTAATGACCATTATTTTGAATCCCCTGTCAGGTAAATCACATACAATCATGCATCATATAATGGCATTTTGTTCAACAACAGACCACCTATACAGTGGTGGTCCCATAAGATTATAATGGGGCTGAAAATTTTTTATTGCCTAGTGATATCATAGCCACCATAGTACAATTACTTTAGTTTTTTTTAAATAAATTTAATGTAGCCTAAGTGTACAATGTTTATAAACATTGTACAGAGTAGTGTACAGTAATGTCTTAGACCTTTATATTTATTCATTACTCACGCACCCAGAGCAAGTTTCAGTCCTGCAAGCTCCATCCATGGTAAGTACCCTGTACAAGTGTTACCTTTTTTGGCTTTTATACTGTATTTTTACTGTATCTTTTCTCTGTTTAGATATATTTAGTGTGTGAGGAGGGGTTAAAGTATAATACCCTCCAAATTGAGAAGGTACTTTGAGACGAAGAAGGAAGCAAGTAAATCCATAAGATATATGAAGGTATTTATTAGAGGGGTGACTTATATACAGGAAAGTTGCATACAACAAAGAATCAATCAGACATCTACAGCAGATGAGAGCTTTGTTTGCATTTAGGCAAACAAAGTTCATATAGCAAAAGCTCTGTTACTAAAAATAACTTAAAGGAAACAGATTAAGAAAAATAAGTTGATGACATCATTCACCAGGTGTCTTGTGATCCATGAGGCAGGGGGTCTTGCGATGGTAGTGCTCAGACCATTGCTGTAATAAATCATTCCCTAAAACCTATGTTCTTTTATGTTTGCCTTAAGGCTGATGTGTAGCTGGTCAGTGATGCAAAAGAATGAGGTTAAACAGGTGTCAACATGGCAGGTGGGGCACAAAATGGCATTAGTTTTGTTCACATTCTAACAATTTAAACACATAAATACCATTGTGTTACAATTGCCAACAGTATTCAGTACAGTAAAATGCTGTACAGGTTTGTAGCCTAAGAGCAATAGACTATACCTGAAGGTTTGTGTAAGCACACTCTGTGATGTTTATACAATGACAAAATTGCCTAATGACATATTTCTAAGAATGCATCCCTGTTGTTAAGCAACACATGACTGTATCTCCATTTCACTGAGTCAGTTTCTAGAGATTTATATTGCTCTTTTATTTGAAATATATTTCCCAATTTCTTCATTTTCTTTGAATTCCTGTGTTAGTTTCTGCACATTGGATTAGACAACTGCCTCTCCCAGTCTTGTCAGCAATAACTCCAGGTCTAAGAATCCCTCTGGAAGGAGGTTGCCCACACATTGAGTGCCCCAGTGTGTGGACAAGGGATTGTACCTTAAACCTCCTAGCTCTGGGAGCAGAGGGGATTAGACATATTCAGATCTCTTGAGAAAAAAAGCAGCAGTTTTATAAAGGCATCCAAGCACTTCCAAGGGCCTCATCCATTCAGAGCATTACAGAGAAGGGGCCTAAAACATGCAGCTCCCTGTTTCTCCCTGGAAGAGGTTTATAACACACTCTTCCAATGACTACTTGGCAGTCTGGGTTCTAACTAACCTGTATTGAAGAGTTAAAGGGGTAGACAAACAGCCCACTGGCAGTCTGAGAAGCAGATGGGCACTTTCCAAGCCTTTTACACTGACTCACCTCAGTGATAACTCCAGATCTATTAATCACTCCTGGAAGGAGCTTGTCCACACATGAAGTACCCAAACTTTTACAGCTTCCATCAGAGGGACTGCACCCTAAATCTCTAGCTCTGGGAGAAGGGAATAGGCATATGCAAGTCTCCCTAGATCACAGAAGAAAGAGGTAGTTTTAAACTGGTATGTAGACACTTCCAGGAGCTAGACACAGCCCCCCACCCCCACCCCCAGGAGCAGTGCAGTAAAGAGGCTGGAATGCACAGTTCCCATTTTCTCTCCAGAAGGGGTTTACTGCACACTTTTCCAGTGGCTACTTGAGAGCCTGGCTTCTAATGAACTTGCAATGGGGAGCTAACAAGGCAGACAAACAGTGATGCTCCAGCAGCCTGAGCTGGAGCCTGGCACTTCCCGAGCCTTTCCTCCAGTTCACCCCAGTGGTAAGTCTAGGTCTAAGCATTCTTCCTGGTAGGAGTCTGTCCATGCACTGAGTGCCACAACTTCTATAGCTCCCATCCAAGGGACTGTCCCCTTAATGACCTAGCTCTGGGAATCAATAGGGCTTTGCATTTCTGAGTGGCCCTAGACCACAGAAAACAAAGAGGTGCCAACCCAGTTCCAGCAGCTATCTCCCCAGGATCAGAAGGTACAGCCTGAATGCAAGTATAGGCATTTGCCACATATCCTCTCCATGGTATAGTACAGACAGAGAGAGATAAATGCCCACACTCAGCTTCACTGTGGGGACAGAAGAAGCTGGAACACACATCCAACACTCCAACACTTACAGCTACATCTCAAGGGTCTTAATTCTACCTTAGTGGTCTCGGCATTCTGACAGTACATGGCACATCATAATCTCCAGAAGGCCACGAAAAACAGAGAAAGCAGTTTGGACAAACATAAAAAATTGAAAGGTACCTTAGAATTTCTGGTTGGATGAATTGTGAGATTCTTCATTCATTTAGATTTCATTTGAGAAAAGTTAACATTGCACAGTAAGGGTATAACTCTTCAATGTGACAGCTAAATTTTATATCTCTGAGTCTCTTTGAACATTATTTGTCTTTTTTTCTATATGGTATATACACTCAAGAAAGAACAGTTGCATTGAGTTTTGGGATATCTATTGTACAATACGACTTCCTTGACTCATTTGTACAAAACCACATCATATTCCTTGAGCCACATTTTGATCTGGTCAGTGTTTCTTGCCAACATCTCCACTGGAATGGTCTTGGACACAATGTGAGAAAATCCTTTCTCTCCAAGAGTACCAGAGTGACCTGACATTGCTACAAGATAGCAGCAGAGCTGAACAAGCCCAACCAGGTTAGATAAGGAAGACGGCAAGCTATGAAATATTGAAATATATCTTTCATCCTTCCTTCCCACTCAGGCCAGGTCTCATATCTACCTCTCCCTAGGATATCCACCCTCACCAGTACCTCCCAACTGTTACATCACTGAACAAAATACCCATGCTCCAACATAAATTATTAACTTTCTCCATTTCAGTCCCTGTTTTTCTCTTAACCATATTACCATGATCACAAATTGGAGAAGCAGAAGAATGCAAGAACAAGTCTGCAGTTTAAACTGTAGACCTGATACTGGAATCCACAAGCAGAAAATCTGAGTTATAGATAAGTAAAGATTGAGATGGTGAAGCACAAGCCACACTCTTAGATCTGGGGCATCTGATATCCTACCAATATTTAATCAAGGAAAAAGCAGGCAGATGACAGTGGGACCAGGATTTCAAGCTGGAGGGAAACAAAGCAAGATGGAAGAAGAACTTTTATTAAGTGATGAACCACTGCCAAAAACATTACTGACATTATTCACTCATCCATACAATATTTATTGAGTTTACTCCAGGTCTGGCACTGAATTATGTAAGTATTATCCCCATTTTACCGTGAAGGAATCAGAGCCACAGATTCATCAAGTAATTCAGCCAGTGTCCACAGGATTTGAATTCAGATCTGCACAAAGAAGCTCATGTTCTTTCTCCTATGACAAAGTGTAGAAGGAAGTAAAAGAATATAACTGGGAGGCAGGAAAGAGCTTGAGAAGAAGACTCCACTGCAAAAAAATGACCTAGCCCCATAATATCCTAATTCTTCCAGAAGCTTCAATTCGCATTACATTGGCCAACAATGTTTAACATACTTTTTAGACAATAAGTTTTCCAGATGATGTATATTTTATAATTTACAATAATTATTACTTTTAGATATAAATTATTTAATTCTGGAAGCTGAAAGTTCTAAATATCAGTGTTTCCATATTAAGAAAAATAGTACATAAAGAACTGTGGCTACAAAAAGAACCCTGGAAAAAATTATTAGCTGTGTCAATTTCTTGGCACCTAATCACATGCTACTTTGTATTGGTTTAAGTCTTGTCCTGAGATCTGTTAGGTTATTTGGAACCAATAACATTCTTCTCTGTTGAGTTCCCATCCTAAGTTATACAGGTGGTATTTTGTAAAAGTTGGACATTTAATATATATGCTGCTTGAATGTAATGAAAACAATTTCTTCAATATTCTATTTACTCAATTACCAGTAAAAGATTTTTATGAATTCAACAATAAACCAATGTTGAAGGTTTTCTAGCATAAATCACTACAATTCCCAAGATACCATAGGTCATCCTTAAAATGTTTTTATTATTATTAATTTTGAAAAAGTGTGTGGTTGTTTCTTTAAAAAATTGGGTGATTCATACACAAGGGTTTATTTTACTATTTTCTATACTTCTGAATATGTTTGAAATTTTTTATAATAAAACATTTAAGCATCTGTACTAACAATGATGATCATTTTTGTTCTTAACTCTAAATAGTAAAAAATCGATCACCATGTTTAGGCACAAGCTTTTTCTCCAAGGAAATATTAAACACATTTTTCAGCACTTCTTCAATTTCCTCCTCATTCACAGTCCTAAACTCTACCAGATCTACGTTATCTTTATAACTGAATCTCCTATAGGTGAGGGTAAAGCCCACCAAACAGTGAACCCCTTCTGGGGACTGTAAAGAACAAAATGATTTGCTTGTAAACACAGACGCTGGCGACTTCTGAAGGTACGTGTTCATAGACTCAAAATCTTCAATTGTTCGAGGTTCAAGAGTAAAACAGTAGATTTTTCGGTATTTGTTCTTTTCCAGGAGGTCAGAATTAAGAAAGTCTTGGTTTGGAATGTACTGCTCTCTTCTGATTTGGTCCAGGTACCAGATTTCGCCCTCTTCTGTCAGGCGGAAGATGCATGGCACTTGAGGCTGGTCCTTTCCGGAAATCAGCTCCAGAGGCTGCCACATCTGGTAGGAACGTCCAAACCCAGCATCAGCGATGTAGTTCCTGCCATCGATGTTCACCTGCAGTAGAAGGTGAATCATGCCACTGCTATATTTGTTGGCTGGAGTGTTGTAAACATACCCTCCCAACATTGTGGTCTCAAAACCAATTGTGGTCAGAGCCCAGTACAGAAGATAATTCACCTGGAGACACCACCCACCCCGGTTCCTCCTCACAATTTGATCAAAAATGGCCTCCAAGCCCAACTCCATGGCTTCCCCACAATGGATGTTAAGGTTCTCAAAGGGAATGGCTCGGATGTGGTGCTGAAGAATGTCAGTTAACGTTTCCAAGTCCAATTTGTTCCTAGAGTTCCTATAACCAATTCTTTCATAATATGCTTCAATATCCATGATTTCCTAAGTAAAGAAAACAAAAGAAAAACAAATACCTGTATTATGTTTGCACTTGGAATTCTTTGAATAGGCTAAGTTTAGCTATTTGCATTTTAACTATGTAAATCAAACAATGGTTATAAATATCTGCAATCATAATTCTTTTGTTTAATGCTTTTATTGTGAGTTGCTTTCACATGCATAAGTTCACTTAATAGTCTCAGTAATCCTGTTAAGCTAAATATTATCTTTTTTTCCTATGTTTTAGGCATCAGAAGTTGGAAATCCACGTTAAACAATGAGCCAATTGATAAAAGCTTGTATGTGGTTTTCTTGGTGATGAGTACATAGAGATTCCAATTGGCATCAATTAAAATAGGCTTATAAACAATTCCTGATATGAACAGGAGAATTACACAATAGAGTACATGGTATTCATGGTAACTGGCCTACTCAATTTCCCCTTTAGCTGAATTTTAAACAGTCAAAAATCCTCACTCCAAGATTTATATTCATTAACTCATTGATTGGCTCATTCAATAAATTGTTTACTGGATATCTACTATGTAATTGCTACTGATCTAATGCTTGCTTGCCCTCAAAAATCTTACATTTTAGTGGGAGATGGAATTATACAGATAGTGAACTGAATAAATAAATAAAAGATGCAATCCTTTAGATTGTGATAAGTGCCTTGGGAAAAATTAAAGCAAGGGAAAGGGTTAGTTAGTAAGAGCACAGGGAGAGCTTCAATTTCAAATAAGGTGGTTAAAGAAAACCTCACTAAGACTTTAAGGATGCTAGAGAATGAGCTCTGTGATATGTGTGAGGAAGATTATTTCAAGCAGAGAGATTAGAAAGAAAAAAAGGCCCTGAGCTGGAATATGCCTAGACTGTCGGGGAACATCTAGAAAGCCACGGTGACTGGAGCAGAGTGAGTAAGAAGGAGAGTGATGTAAGATCAGACAGGTAACAGCAGCTCCACAGACAATGCTGGTATTTTGGCTTTTATTCTAAGTGAGATGAGGAATCTAAATGAGAGAGGAATGAGAGGAGAGTTATATAATTTGAACAATGTTTGCCATAATGAACGTGATCGTTCCGGTTACCGTTTGGAGAATGGGCTGTACATATTGAGATCTATGAATAGTCACATGAACTAGGTAGAACCAATTCAAAAACTCTAGGACCAATGCTTGGCTCAAAAATGGTGTGTGACCCAAGGATATCAAGGAGACTTTATTGAGGGACTCTTGCCTAGGACTTACGCATATATATTCTGTTGCAGGGCTAGAAGCTGGCAGGATATTAAGCCAAGGATACTGGGGAAAACTTGCTGAAGAACAAAGAAGAATGAAAAACAGGAGAAGGGAGGATAAGGAAAGACCTCGAGGAAGCCTTAAGCTATCTTTTAACTTTCAGGCAAGTGAACCCCCCAGAAGTTCCTTATTTTGTTTAATCCATTTAAAACCTTTTAAAATCCTTTTAATCCTTTTAAACACCTGTTTGAGAAAAGGTTTTTGTAACCTGCTATCAAAGAGTTTTAATCTATTGAGACTTTTTTCCATACAACAGTGGTGCAAGACCTCAAGACTGCCTCCTTTGTAATATGGCATGGCCTGAGATGATGTGGTGTAAAGAGACCTGCCCCAAAGTTGAATGGTGATAACCTAAGCATCTCTACTTTCCCTCCTCATGTGATTTCTTTCATAGTCTCCTATTTCTCCTTTTTGACTCAGCTATCCTTCCCACATTGCCAGTATTTCCAACTTTCTCTGTTCTTGATGTCTGCAACATTATTTCCCCTAAACCTATTAGATTAATTGCAAAGCTTCTCATCCTAACTTGCACCCACATTTCTCAATATTTAGACAAACTTCAAAACTCTACCACTCAGGCACAGAGAGAACAAATGGTATTTAGTCAAACCACTTCAAATTGTCTCTGGCCCCGACCCAGAATCTGCACTGAGTACATCAGGAAGAGAGAGGAAGGCCGATCCAAAAGGAATAAGGTCTTATACATGCCTGGCCATTTGATTCTTGCTTAGATCATGATTCTTTGTACTAAGAAATTACTTTATATTTCTTTTTAGATATAATAAGTTTTCAAGTGTTTGTTTTCCTTTTTTCCCTTCTCCCTCTCTCTTTCTCCTGCTGTTTTTCTGCCTTTCTCCCTCTATCTCTCCCCTCCTGTTTTCTTTCTTTTTTTTTTAAGATGAAGTGTTGAGCTGGAATTTAGTAACTTCAGGTTCACTCAGAAGTCAGTTTTTATTAGAGGCCTGGATACCAGCAATGCATTATAACCAAATAAGACTTGAGTACTCCATGACTACACATAAGACATTGAGTGTTACTAAAGTTGTGATCAAGGTAAAATGCTAAAAGCACTTGGAAAGCAATTGCCAGCAAAATAGTTGACCGAAAACACTATTAGCTTTATATACTGACTAGTAGCATAGCTGTGCAGTGGTACACCCCTTCCTCTTAGCTTGACCACAAATGCAAAAGACTTACAGGAGGCAGAACAAATACACTTATGGAGCCCAATGAGAACTCTCAGAAAGGCACTTAGTATCTCTCTTAGTAAGTTGAAAGTAGGTTGTCTTCAGTTTTAATTCAGAAGGCTTAGAATGTTTCTTCTTCCCGGTCCGAACTCTAGAAATAATAGAAAAGATAGTTTAAAAGATATAACCTAACTTTTCTTGAAAACAAATAGAGTTGTTTTGTGGACTGTAAAGTATGAAGAATCCCTAGAAATCACAAAACAGAAGGAACGGACTGTGGGGTGAAGTGAACATCTGAGTCGCATGGCAAAGACTGTGGAAAGTATAACTGTGGGAGAGGGGGAGCAACGCAGACAAGGCCCTAAGCTTGGAGGTTGTGAAAGCCACCAGGTAGGGTCCGGAAGCAACCAGGCAGGTGATTAGTTGCCATGGAATCGGCGAGGAGGGGTGAACCATGTCCCATGGCCCCCATCCACTACCAGGACATATACCAAACACACCAAAGACCAGTATGCAGTGGTAGCACCTGGTCTTCCTTTAGGTGACAACTAAAACTGGGTATATTGTGGTATACCAATATACTCATATACCTTGCTTTTAAAAAGGTAATGCCCTGTGATATTTTAAAATACAGTACACAAGTATATTTGGTCTTTGTCTCTGTTCCTATTCCTGTCCCTTTCCTGGCATACAATTCCTAAAATCCTTAGACTATCCAAAGTGCTGTCTTTTTGTATGCTGATGACTTGGCTGGTGGCTGGCAGCCCCTCAGTAGATTCGGGATGGTGGATGGTCACTGGAAAGACCAAGGCAAGACGAGAGGGGAAGGAGGATCTGGGGAGGAGAGAGGGACTGAAGGTTAAGTTGATCACTAATGATCTATGATTTGATCAATTATGCCTACATAATGAAGCCTCCACAAAAATCCAAACAGACTGGGTTCAGAGAGATTCTGGATAGTTGAACACGTGGAGTATCCTGGTTGGTCATGTGCCAGGGGAGGGTATGAAAGCTCTATGCCCTTCCCACATACCTCGCCCCATGTATGTCTTTGTCTGTATTCACTGTAATATCCTTTATAATAAACCATTAGAGGTAAGTAAGTGTCTCCCTGAATTCTGTAAGCTGCTATAGCAAATTAATCGAACTCAGTTGAGGGGGTTGTGGGAAAACCAACTTATAGCTGCTTGGTCAAAAGTTCCTAAGGCCTGGACTTGTGACTGGCATCTGAAGTGGGGGCCGTTTACTGAGCCCTTAACTTGTGGAATCTGACACTATCTCTATACAGAGTCATAATAGAATTGAACTGAAGGGCACCCAGCTGCTGTCTGCTGCAGAGTTGGTTGCTTGCTTGCTGGTCAGGAGAAATAGCCCCCTGCCCCACATTTAGTCACAGACATCTTTCTTCTGGCTTCATCTGTCTTGACGGTTGTGGCATAAAAGAACAGAAAAAAAAGTTCATGTTTTTTCCTTTCATGCCCTGAATGTACAGTGTCACCAGAAAGGCAGATGTAGAAGACCTGCCACCAGAGCATCTACTGTCACACTCATCTTCCCTCATCTCCACTGGGAAAAGTGAGGAGTCTAAGCCCGGTCCAGCTGGACATCTCCCTAGCCACACTAGATTCGAGAAACAAATAAAAGGTGAAGACAGAGCTATAAATACATGAATATGATGAAAAAACAAAATAGAAGTATGTGAAATTAAGATTAGAAGAAAAGACTTAACATCACTTAAAAGTTACATGCCAAAAGGACAACCAATTCAAGGAGAAAAATGAACATAAAGAAATTCTTTATAAGTACTTGGAGCTATAGAACATGTAAAATGGACTCAACAACAAAGAGCTAAAAAATGAGGTGACAAAATAATACAGTTTCATGAAAAGGAATATTTCAAACCTTAAAAAGCTAATTAAGGACATAAAGACAGCTAATATATAATTAATGATAAACAGAAAGGAAACTACATAGATAAAGCATAATACCACACTACTTATGTAGAAAAAAAATGCTTCACATTTGTAGTTGAGGCTAAATGAAAAGATAAAGCCATTAAAATAGTCAGAGAGGATTAGAAAGCAGTGAAAGACTACCCAATGTAAAAACAATTGGTGCTTCTGAAAAGAATTCAAAAAGTGTAATAGAAAATGTATATAAACATCAGATGGCTGTAGTTGTATGGGTTGGTTTCTGGATTTTCTATTCTATTCCACTGATCCGTGTGTCTGTTTTTATGTCAGTACCATGCTATTTTGGTTATTATAGTAATAGTTTAAAGTCAGGTAGTGTTATGCCTCCAGCTTTATCTTTTTTGCTCTGCTTTGGCTATTCATGGTCTTTTGTTATTCCATATAAATGTTAGGATAGTTTTTTCCAATTCAGAGAAAACTGTCATTGGAATTTTGATGGGGATTGTATTGAATCTGTAGATTACTTTGACAAAGGCACCAAGTCTACAGACTGGGGAAGAGACTGCCTCTTCAGCAAACGGTGTTGGGAAAACTGGATATCCATATGCCAGAGAATGAAACTAGACCCATACTTCTCACCATATACCAAAATCAACCCAAAATGGATTAAAGAATTAAATATACACCCTGAAACAATAAAACTCCTTAAAGAAAACACAGGGGAAACACTCCAGGAAGTAGGACAGGGCACAGACTTCAAGAATACGACCCCAAAAGCACAGGCAACCACAGGAAAAAATAAACAAATGGGATTATATCAAACTAAAAAGCTTCTACACAGCAAAAGAAACAATTTGAAGAGTTAAAAGACAACCAACAGAGTGGGAGAAAATATTTGCAAAATATACATCTGACAAAGGATTACTATCCAGAGTATACAAGGAACTCAAACAACTTTACAGCAAAAAAAAATAATGATAATAACCCAATTAAAAAATGGGCAAAGGAGCTGAATACGCATTTTTCAAAGGAAGATATACAAATGGCCAAAAGACACATGAAAAAATGCTCAACATCACTCAACATTCAGGAAATGCAAATCAAAACCACACTGAGATACCATCTCACTCCAGTTAGGATGGGTAAAATCCAAAAGACTGAGAATGATAAATGCTGGAGAAGTTGCAGAGAAAAAGGAACCCTCCTACACTGTTGGTGGGACTGCAAAATAGTGCAGCCTTTATGGAAAATGGTTTGGAAGTTCGTCAAACAATTGCAGATAGATCTACCATATGATCCAGCTATTCCACTGCTGGGAATACACCCAGAGGAATGGAAACCATCATGTCGAAGGCATACCTGTATGCCAATGTTTATTGCAGCACTCTTTACAATAGCCAAGAGTTGGAACCAGCACAAATGTCCATCATCAGATGAGTGGATAAGGAAACTGTGGTATATCTACACAATGGAATACTACTCTGCTATAAAAAAGAATGAAATACTACCATTCACAGCAACATGGATGGACTTAGAAAAATTATATTAAGTGAAATAAGTCAGGCACAGAAAGAGAAATACCACATGTTCTCACTTATTTGTGGGAGCTACAAATAAATAAATAAATCCACAAACAAATGGGGGGGGGCAGGGACACAACAATCACAATTCCTTGAACTTGTTAAGACAAGTGAACAGATATGATGTTGATGGAAGGGGGAGAGGGAACAGGGAGGAAGGATTCAGTAGAGGGACATAAAAATCAACTGCATTGTATATTGATAAAATAAAATAAAATAATTTTTTAAAAGAAAATGTATATAAAGATAAAAAAATATTTTTCTAAAATGAAGCAAAAATTAAATCTGAAAAGCAAGAGAAACAAGATTCTGGAAAAGTTTGATTCAACCTGCTCAACATTGGAATATATTCTTGCTAAATTACTGAAATTCAGAGTTAAAGAGAATTATACAAGCATCCAGCAGAGAAAGAAAATTCTTCATCAGGGAAAAAATTTCAGGCTGGCAACAGAATGTTCCACAGAAATATTAAAATGTGAAGTACTGAAACAGTCTACAAAGTATTGAAGTAATGTGTTATCCTCAAATATTACACTGTTAGTATTTCATTTAATCATAAAAGCAAACTGAATATGAATACAATCTCAATCATGAAAGAACTCGAGAAGTGCAACAACTACGAGTTATCTTGATAGTGTTTCCTCTTCATTGGCCAGTGAAGAAGTTAATCAAAATGAAAACTACGAAATGGACAGGTCACAGTCAAGGACTGCTGGTGAGCATTGACTTCTTTTAATACAGAACAAAGAGCAGAAAAGCTAATAAGAACTATGGCTATTGGACAAGCCATTTTGGCTTATATGCCAATAGAAATATGAACTTAAAAATGAAACTTGAGGGCCGGCCGGTGGCACACTGCTACAGTGCACCGCTTGGGAGCGCGGCTCCCGCCGAGGGTTCGGATCCCACATACAGACAAGTTCCCGCTCACTGGCTGAGCGAGGTGCGGGCGCGACACCAAGGGTTGCGATCCCATTGCCGGTCCCGGTCCGGTACGGGCGCGACACTGAGGGTTGCGATCCGTTGCCGGACACGAAAAAAGACAAAAAGGAAAAAAAAAAAAAAATGAAACTTGATGGGCCGGCCCGGTGGCGCACTCAGTAGAGTGCGGCACTTGGGAGTGCGGCGGCACTCCCGCCGAGGGTTCGGATCCCATATAGAGACAGGTCCGCTCACTGGTTGAGCACGGTGCGGGTGCGACACTGAAGGTTGCGATCCCGTTGCTGGTCGCGGTACGGGCGTGACACCGAGGGTTGCGATCCCGTTGCTGGTCGCGGTACGGGCGTGACACCGAGGGTTGCGATCCCGTTACCCGTCACGAAAAAAGACAAAAAGGAAAAAAAAAATGAAACTTGAAGATAGACCAGATTCTAGGAAAACCTGATCCAATATTGTCAACGTTGGAACTGTTAAAAGATAAAATTAGGCACATTAAAATTTTGAGGAGTTTATTTGAGCAGAAAGTAATTCATGAATCAGGCAGCACCAGACCACAAGGGTTCAATGTTCCACTTAGGGGTGGGGGGCAGGGGTGGAAAGAGAGAGAATTTTTACATGTTCACAGAAGCAACACA